ATTATTGAACAATAATCCTAATGTACTTACAGATGTGTTACATTGTTTATTGAACAATAATCCTGATGTACTTACAGATGTGTTACATTGATTATTGAACAATAATCCTAATGTACTTACAGATGTGTTACATTGTTTATTGAACAATAATCCTGATGTACTTACAGATGTGTTACATTGATTATTGAACAATAATCCTAATGTACTTACAGATGTGTTACATTGTTTATTGAACAATAATCCTGATGTACTTATAAATGTGTTACATTGATTATTGAACAATAATCCTAATGTACTTACAGATGTGTTACATTGTTTATTGAACAATAATCCTGATGTACTTACAGATGTGTTACATTGTTTATTGAACAATAATCCTAATGTACTTACAGAAGTGTTACATTGTTTATTGAACAATAATCCTAATGTACTTACAGATGTGTTACATTGTTTATTGAACAATAATCCTGATGTACTTATAAATGTGTTACATTGATTATTGAACAATAATCCTGATGTACTTATAAATGTGTTACATTGATTATTGAACAATAATCCTGATGTACTTATAGATGTGTTACATTGATTATTGAACAATAATCCAGATGTACTTATAAATGTGTTACATTGATTATTGAACAATAATCCTGATGTACTTATAGATGTGTTACATTGATTATTGAACAATAATCCTGATGTACTTATAGATGTGTTACATTGATTATTGAACAATAATCCTTATGTACTTTCAGATGTGTGATGTTAATTATTGAACAATAATCTTGATGTACTTACATACTGAACAATAATCCTAAGTTTATTTTGTTGATATTTGATCAATTAATCCTGACATACTTACATACAGTGTTTATGTTGATGTCTTCAACAATATCCCAAAATCGTTCCACAATATCCTGAACTGTTTTCTTACACACTCCCTAACAGAGAGAATCTATTATAATATATGATGATATGCTGTCTAACATTTATAGCAATAAATACAATTTTAACCTGATAAAGATCTTATTTTAGGTACCATCAACTCAGTTCAGAATTAAAACCACTTGTAATCAATTGTCAGTTCGATGGGGCTCGATTCTTTTATGGTAGGTTTCTATGACTTGTTGAAGATAAATGTCAACAATAAATGGAAAGTACACAATCCACTTGATTTAAAGTAATATATTAAAAAGTAAAATGTACGTACAAAACTTCATTACACTATTGGTTATCACAGATGTATTCAAAGCTATAAATAATTGTATCTTTTTTGTCAAAGTCTAAACAGGTAGGTTCAATTACTTTAAAATGCCCTTTGACAAGACAAATTATTCTCCTATATCTGTTATTACAATAAAAGCTGTGAAACTTACTTTAGAAATTGCCTGTTACAGCTAAAGTCACACATTGTCTAACATAACTTTTACTACCTTTTACTTCTTTCTGTATTTATAACAGGAGACAAAAATATCTAAACCTCTAGTAAGAATATTACACATAACAAGGAAAACTTTGAAGCTTCGAGTAAGATGACATCAACAATATTACAAAGCCTAGTATAACAATTAAACTACATACTCAACGTAACACTCGTACAGTTACGTAATGAAACTTGTCATAACTATTGCTTTTAGAATAATTAACTTTTAACACTCTTGTTCTGAAACTAAATAATCATTAATTATTCAATCACTAAATAAACTAACTCTTAAGCTAAACAGTCATATATATCAATAATACATTATAAGTAACTATTTTAAAATTAATCTGCATCATTCAATACATTCCTTTTTAAACTTTCACCAGTTTTAATTCCAAACTTTATATCAAAATCATAATGATTTTATGCAATAAACTGAAATAAACTTAAAGATATTTCCAAGCTTACATAACTGTACAAAATAAACTATCTACTACATCTTATACTGTACTTATCTACACATATTTTTAAGTATCATGATTCCTCAAATATTAGATTATTTTACACAAAACACATGCCTGATACACATTACCTCTTCGCAGTAGCCGTGAATACACGGAGTTCCATCTCGCAAGATTTCTTCTGGGGGTACAGGTCGACAAGTGGAGTTCAAAGTAGACCTACAGCATCGTTTGCAAGCATCTTTTTCTGTTAACATGATTGATACACATCAGTCCTTCTTAACGCTTTCACAAAGGGCTCGATATAATATACATGAGTCCATATGCACGTTAAGTATTAATATTATAACTTTTAATTCAGTAGGAGCATTTTCACAAAATTTGGTATACCTTTAGTAAACATTAGAAGTCTTTTGTACACAAAATAATTAAGTTTTTTAATGAAGTATTTTTACTACAGATTTGTTTGTGAATATATCAAGTCTGTTTCATTACTAGTCCGAGATTTTCATGATTAAAAATACTATTCTTCATTCCTGATATCTCAAATTTCTTTTGTGTAATCTTTAAAACCTCCTAAATACATTTCAAACATTTGTTTTCACTAAAACTATATCTTATCAGTTATTTAATGATATACTTGACTCTTCAACCTGTAGACAAACCCGAAAGTATAATGAAAAGACAAGTTGTAAAATTAGAAATAAAAGAAGCAGCCATGTCTTTTTTCGTTATTATTGGTCACAAAGTAAATCTCTCATGAGTTTGAACTGCTAAACATTTCACATTTATTTTCTGTGTTTATTTTACTGTCAACGACTAAAGTAGAACACTGAAAATATACCAATAAATGACTCAATACTCCTGAAGCAACAAAGCACGCGTGAAATGATAGTCGACTAGACCCCTGCTCTGAGAACAGGATGTCTAATGTATCGGATCATATATACTAAAATGTTTTCCTGGAAAATTCAGAGTAATCACA